CTTCCCAGAGCTTTGGCCCTGAAGTAACTGTGCACAAGCAAAGAGGGTTCTTGTTCACACCCCTTCCCGCATACAGCCGTGTGCCCAGACTGCGGTGCGGGTACGCCAACGCCTAAGCACCAGCCCCTAAGCACTACCCATATCCAGAGTCCACGTAGCAGAAAGCAGGAGTGAACCACACTCACCTTCCAAAGAAGTGAGCATGTTAAGGAGGACACTGAATACGGAATTCACTGTAGATAACACGTTACCTATCCGCCTTCAAATATCACAGGGGATACATTCTTCCTTTTCAAGTCTTCCATCCTTTTTTGAATGATGCTTCCTGACAGTAAATTTCTGCAAAAAACACAGATATGGTTGAAAGAAAAACTACATCAACAGAACTTCATTGATATTGTTTAGCAGTGGACTCAAACCCAGCTCTAAATCTGGATTTCCATCATCTCCCCTCCAGAAGCTTGGGGTATTGGCATAAATAGGTTTAGTTTTCACTATTAATAAAGTTCATGCCTCAAATTTGGAGAGGAATCTCTTTCAAATTGTTCAGCCCAACAAAGTTCATGGAGAGGACTGGGATCAGAATTTGGATTCAGGTCCACTGCTGATACGAAGTATTTCAGTCTTCTGATCTACATGCTATTAACACAACATGCAATATAATGTTGTACTCAGCATGGGGAGATGCGACTTGCTGAAGCTGCATGCAGTAAACTCATTGCATTCAATTAGAAACCAATCAACATGCAGCCAAACACTACTGTACAACAAACAGTGCATGCAACGTTATTCTAACTCCATCCAGTGCATGACTACACGGATTTAACAATAAGCATAGAAACATGTTATATGAACTGCAAACACTGGACACGTTGCAAAAGAATGTTACCTGATTTTTTAATTATTTTTTTTAATAAACAGCCTGAGGGCACAAAGGGCCTGGCCACACAAGCTTAAGAGTGGTTCCTTTCTATGACGATGGCGGTAGGCTTCAGATGAACTCAGGACCACTTGCCACCTGCGGTTAGCTCAGTAGTCTCGCCTGCTAGTCCTCCTGTTCCTCAGCTATGTTGAAAATGAAATGCTTCTGTTCATCTTGCTGCTCAAGAAAGTCATCTTGACTTCATGTTTGTTACAAGAATTATCACTGGATAATTAATGATGCAACATGTGGATTTAGCTGGCTTTTAGTTATCATTATGCATAACTGCTGACCCTTTGTCTTGTGCATCCATTTATTTGCTCAAGAATTCACATGACATTCATTACAGAAAAGAAAAAATACAATACAACTGATTAATACCACCCTAGTTCTCCTATTTCTACTGTAATGAAAGAATCTTGAGAGTTCAAATATACAATGATAAGGGAAAAACCTGTTATAAATTGTACACAGCTGTTCATTTTTCCTCAAATCAGATACAAAATTAGGATAACAATACCTTTTGTCAGGCACCACCAAGGTTGTTAAGATCTGATGAAGACTATGACACGTGAAAGTGCTTGCTCACTGCTTTCACATGAAGATAAATGTATCACTGCAAGTTTTAACATTTTAATTTAAAAAAGTGAAAAAGCAAACCAAAACCAAGTCACAGGCCACGTACAACAGCTTTAAATGGCACAGATTGTTTTTTCACATCACTGTGACAAGGAAGGAAAGACCAAACTGTTTACACTGGAGCTTCAATACAGTTCCTGGTGTTGAAGTCACAGTTCTTCATTTGTCAGACTGGTCCATACATACACACCGATGTATATGCTTCCGTAATGTATTCATTGTAACAGCTGGGATTTTCAAAATATTTGGACAAGCATTTCCCATTACCTTATTATTTAAAATGGGTGTCTAAGTCACTAGATAACTGGAAATCTTAGCCCAATTTTCAAGTAATTTATAAATGTTCACCCAACAATTTAAGTGCCCATTACAAGCACGAATTAATTTAATCACACAGTTGTCTGTGACTGGGGCTAATGGTTTCTCTAAAATAACACCCAGTGTTTGCAGCAGAGTCAGAGAGTACACATCTCACCCTTCCATGACTGAGCAACAGAGGTTTTTTCCTTCTAGGAATTGGTGCTGCTCATCTTACTTTGGGGTTTTGTTCTTCCTCAAGGCTAGTGGAGAGATAATGTGACATACACAATAACCGGAAGACAGAAAAAAGGCAAATGTAGGATTCCTAATGGTTGACTTCCTGTGTTTGATCCCTGCAACATGGAGGAAAAGCAAGGGTAAGAGAGCAGGCAGGGACAGGGATGTGATGCCGTGCTGGAAGGGGAGTGCTTTGTATGTGTCAAGCGTGATGTGTGCTTGTTAGGAAGAGATGCATCCAGACTTTGACACTGAATCAGGTAACTTGGTTCATCTCTTCCAACTGTTTTTTAATCATACTTAGTAAATACTGCATAATACCAGAAGTCATATTGGCCCAAGACAGATCACTTTCTTCTATGACTGGTTTTGCAAGGTCTTGGAAAAAATAACAGATTAAACAGGTGTGACGCATGCAGTAGGAACAATTTACAAAGTTATGGGTCAGAAAGGGATCAGAGCTGCCTTAATGTCTGTGTCTTCAGTTACAGGAAACAGCACAGAGAAGTTTACATGGCCCCATACACAGAAAAGCTTTTACTGCAGCTATAGATCTAGGTTCCTCAGCTGGAGCAGTCACAGCCGACATTACTGAATCTACAGACCCAAAGCTTGGTCAGGACAAGAACAGTTTCCATACTGGTGGCAGGCTGCAGAGAAATCAGCAACAGACATACCTAAATATAAGTGTATGACATAATAGACATAAATGTGACTTTCAGCTACTTTTATTTTATTTGTAATCAAAGGGCTGCAGAGACCATTTGGTGCTAAGCATCTTCTTAAGAGGGAATTGGTGCCTGTAATATCAGAACATCAGCCTTATTAATTCAGTACATACCTTAAGCCTCTCATTTTTCTTAATGCACATGAGCAAGTTAATCAGCAAATGTGAATTTTAATAATTCCTTAATAATATTTTTTTAATAAAGAACAGGCTTGTGTGTGAAATGCTATATGGCAAAGCATGGCACAGACTGCTTCCTGTGGGTACTTAAAGCTTAAGACACGTCATGGGGGTTTCTAGAGCCAGATGAATTAATGAAATGCAGATTGAGATGCTAGATCCTGATTCAAAAGTCACCTAAAGACTCCTACTTTCAAAAAAAAGTTTTAGATCAGGAACTACAGGATCAGAACGATGAGTTAATGAGCTTTCATTTTTTTATAATCAACAGAAAATGCAAATGCAAAAAAACCCAAGCAAAACACGAAGATATGGCTTACTGCTTGAAAAAAATGTCTTGTGCTTTAGATGTGGTCAGAGGAAGATAAGCCAAGAAAATGCGCACCATGTAGTCCAATATGCTATAACTTCAACAGAAGAAAAATGTAATTCCAAGGAGGTTTCACAGCAAAAGCCAAGCATCATTTTTTGTATTGAAAGAACTCTAACAGAAAGATACGTTCTTTGTGCAGACCGTATTGCTTAGATCAGAAAATATGCTTAACTATTAATGGCAGAGTTGTGTCTTTAAGCTAGAGAGTAAGAAAAGTGCAACGCTATTCCAATGAAGACATATAGGAAAAGAGACTGTGCTGAAAAATAAATCCAAATTCGGTTCACCTTCACATATAGAATACAAAAACAATAACTACCACAACTGTTTCATAAGCCAGTATCATTCCAAGTGGTAAACACAAATGTGCCACCTGCATTGGAACTACAAGTCTGTTTAGACATGAAATCATTTTAAAAGGTCACTGCTGCAAATACTACAGATATGTACATGATGAGTTTCAAAAAGTACTGTAGTAAAATTCTCAGATGCCTCCATAATGTACCTTGCCTGAAAACCAGAATTCTGTCATTTACCTGGCCTTGTGCTTTTACACCTCTCATCATTGTAGTATCTCGACAAATTAATGATTAACATTTTGTGAGGACTCACAGGGTCTAATTCAAAGCTGCTGTATGCAAGTGTAACTCAAAGTAAATGCACATAGACCATACGATCAGCACCCAAGCCTAAAAATAAGTAATTCTTCTCATTTAATAAAAGAAGTACTTAGTTGTCTATGGTATGACAAATGGTTTATGATAGATGATCTGCAACTGTAAGATGTCTCAAAGAGGTGACATTCAAGCATTGTATCCAGCCATATCACTTTATGTTTGTTCCTTTGGAAAGGATTACTTCATTATTTCAATGCCAGAATTTGAAATCATGCTCTCCAGTTGCTAGATGACAGTCTTACAGTCCTCTGAAAACAAGGAGCTCAGTTTTTCAAGTGAAAATGCCTGCAAAACACTATTTCCTGTAGTTCTCAGAAAACAGTCTTCTAGAAATAAAATTATTCATGGACACTTCTTAAGGCAATGCTGTACTTATGTACCACTCTTAAAAAAATACCATGACAGGTTTAAAAGAACATAATACAAGCTTATTGTTTCTTACATACAGTCTGGAAAAGACGATGTTCTTACATTTGTCTCTGATATCATTGTGGTGATATATTTTCATTTATGTCCTTTGTATGTCCAACTTATAATCTTACATCTTTTCATAAGAAATTTCTATAAAAACATATAAAACTGCGGCTCCAAACCAGCTCCTTAGACTCATTTTGACAAATGCATTGTAAATTTTAAGCTTATTCTAATTCTCACTGGCTTAAATGTCACAAAATTGGTACCTAGGTGTTATTTGACATAACAAACAGGCAAAACTTTTCTAAAGCAGTTCCTGGTGCATCAGAACACCACAAAAAAAAATATCCTTTAAGCCTTGTTGGAGCTATATTAATACCAGGTGAGAGATGCTGTATAATCAAAATTAAAAAGTGGATTTGCAGTATCCAAAAATTATTTATTATGTGTTTTGCCATCTTCTGGGCCTTTCCACTTTGGGAACACAATTCAGAAGTTACTTTAAAAAAACCTGCTTGTACAAAGTCTTACCTTGCAATCTGTGTTCTAGTATTGAAGTCAAGAGATTTCATTGAGCGTAAGACTTCTATACACCCCAAGTACTGTAAGGAAAAAGAAACAGTTGGAAAACGTATTATAACTATTCTTGAGTTCTAGGAAAAAATGCAGCTAATCATTAAAAGGCACTGTACAATTCTTATTTTTACATTTGATTTATCCTATGTGTCAGGTAGGGTTTTATGATTATGTTCTTGTATGTCACAGATTTGTTCCATAAACATTTTATTTCATTTAAGTGTCAAGCTTGGTTCAACATATATTTTTATGTTTAATCTAATCACTGTAATACATCTAGTTTATAATGTGTTGCTGTGGAACAGACCAGACTTATTGCCTCAGATTTTGCCCTGCATCTCCATGAAAAAAAACAGGAGTACTGCTAGAAATTTTGTTAAACTAGAGCAGTATCTATCACCAGACTGAGAAAAACTGACGTCAATCATCTGGACTCACTTCCAAAAGTGGGCATAATTTGCATGTGCAAAAGTCCACATGCAGCTACAGCTCTCATCGGATATTTGGATAGTGGCTTTGTACAAACCAACTCATGCCTGGCATATCCCACGGCAGTATCTTTGCATGTAGGTTAAGTACTCAACCACACACCTGACTTTTGAAAGTCAGAGGAAACAGGGATGAGTCTTTACATAATAAGCCTGATAATACTATTCTAGTATTGTGGTTTCATATCAGCCTTTGTATCAGTTCTTGTATCTATTCACGGTCTAATGCAATCTATTTGGGTATGAAACTGGTGCAAAAAATCAAGTGAGGCCACCATTTTGTGTGTGTATGGGAATTTTATTTATATTGGAAAAATGACCTTTTGATTAGATAATTACTACATCAGTAACTATACTATCTAGAATTTCAGCAATGCTTTTTCTATAGAAACAAATAGGTTACACACTGTTTATAAGCTGAGGAAGCATCTAGTGTGTTTTCACATGTTATTATTTAATTTATTGCTACCAGAAGTAACAAAATTATTACAATACTGAATAAAATAAACTAAAATATCAAGTGACTCCTATTCAGTACATCGCTCGAACTTGGATTATAATAGCCCACAGTTTCTGGAAAGTGTCGTTTCAAGATCCACTTCCTAGAATTTTTTAGAAATCTCCTGCAATTTTATCTTATGTTTGAAAAGCCTGTAAAATCCTCATGGAAAATGTCTTGTCTATAGAGATCCTGGCACATGGATCTTTCCAGCTAAGGGTCATACTCTCAATCTGTTTCGATTATCATCACTCCTCTATCAGTGCAAAATTAGGTACTCCCTTTATCTTATTACAGGTAGATTCCTTTTTTTCAGCTGAGGTCAGTTAAGTTATGCCAATATACAGAAATGAAAGATGTTCTCCTGTAATCTTTTTGTGTCATTTTTTTTAATAATTCTATGATACTTGTATAGATAAATTTTCCCAATTATGTATTTCATGTGAGACACTTTTGTAATTAAATATGCTATAAATGGTATAACTATTCAAAGGTATCCAGGTGATTTTTTGCTACTGAAATGCTTGTTTTTCACTATTTCATCAACTTGTTCATTTAGACCACTCAATACTAAACCACTCTTGGTTTGCACTTGTTCCTTCACTTATCTATATTTGCCACAAGTCTTTTAACGCAAAGTAATTGTACAATTTTGAGAACCAGGTCCAACATTTTAGAAGCAAACTCTAGGAGGTAGTTTGACAAGTACATGCAAGCGTGCAAATAAATATACAAACACATGTGCACACAAGTCACTGTCGAAATAAACACACAAATAATTAGACAAATACCCATAAACATACTTAGAAGGCGTGCATTTAGACTCCTTTCAGTCATACTACCTGATCTGCATTAACAAAAGTAGAGACAAAACCAGACTGAAGGAAGGTCAGATGGAAAAGTTATCCTGTACTTTTTTTATGTATAGCACGAAGACAGCTGAACACAACATAGTAAGGCTTGCAGTATTCCTGACTGATCAAGGCAAAGATGGCAACTGATTTTCTGGGATAAAAGATGTGAACACTTAATCACCACGGCATGTTTTCAAGTAACGAGATTACTATAAAAACTGACATTCAAAAGGTCCAAAGGCGAACTACAGGGACATATAACTCACCTACTGCTATGCTTCAATTATTCCCCAAGACCAACATTGCTCTCTAAAAATATCCATTTGAAGTACATCCTGACAAGGATCCACAGAAAGGAGACATACAACCAAGATAGCAAGTAAATAAATTATTCATTTATTTCAACAAATAATTATCCTGATTAAAAAGAAATGCTATCTTTTGCTTTAGGCATTCCATGAAACATTTGAAATATATAATTATAAAACAGTCTACTTCTAAAAAAGCTCCTCTTCACCCAGCACTTAGTGTATATTCTAACCAATCAGCTACTGTGCACTGTGATTTTTATGAGCTCCTACTAGCAACTTCCCTTTCATTGCTCAGGAAAAAAACATACCGAGATGCAGCCCACCTTGAAATAGGAAGATTTGGGACTACCGGTTCCAAGCTCTCTCAGATAACATTCTGCCTCCTGTCTAATTTCTAATGTTTGAATGAGTTTCCAGCTTGTATACCTACATTGAATGGTACTACGCCCCGAGGAAAAAGTCTTTCATATGAATTAATACCTTCCCGTTCAGAGGTTTTAGATTCATAACTAGTACTTTGCATGCTAAACAGCACCTTGCAGGAAGCTGACGTAGATCTAAAAGCAGAGTGCCACATACTCTCGGGACCACACCTCTCTCATTGCATGAGGTTCCAACATCCTTACTAGCTACAATTTTTCCAGGTAAATGTAAGAGAAGGCCATATATCCCAGGTTTCTGGTTTCCCGTAGGTGAAGATTTTTTTCCATATTCCATAAAGCACCTCTGCCTTCTCTATGACGCAGTCAGAAAATTCTTGTTTAACAACTAAAATTTTTTACTGTACCCTGTGTAAGAAACAGTATGGAGTTCTCCCAACATTTGTCAGAAGCAGTGCAACACAGGAGCGCTGAGTGCATTCATGTGCTTGGAGTGAAGGGAAAAGGCAAATGAGGGTAGTCACTGTCAGAGATGCCTTTTGCCCCACAAACATGAACAATCTTGTTCAGTGTTTCCTAACAAGCTCATTCAAAAACCAAGTTACTGACCAAAACTTCCATTATTTGACTCAGAAGCTAGTAGTGACAATAGCAACAAATATTTTCATAAAAATGTAGCAAGATGTAGCCCCATACTGCGCTGCACCAGTCCAAACTAGGAACAACAAATGCTTGAACACTTAACACTTGAATGGCATATGCAAGTCTAATAGCAGACAAGTGTCTGCCCAGAACATGGGTAGCAGGAAGATCTGCCCATCACCTACTCTCAAACAAAATAAAGACTCCTGATCTTGGAGTCTGAACTACTGGAGTATCATTAGCTCACCAAAACCGCATGGGTACTATTAGCAAATTAAGATAGTCTGCGTAACCAGATGACCATGACCAAATCTGAGTGGTTCACAACATTGCAGATTGTACCTGCAACACACAAAGCCTCGTGCGAGTTATGTAAGAGATAACCTGGTTACATCAGCACACAGACATGCATTTGCATTGTTAGCCAAAAATTAGTCGGTGACTTCAAATATCAATGTATCTGAAATCTGCACTAACAGTGCGTAGCTGCTGCTAATAGCCTGGGGACTCAAAATATAGATTCAGATTCCCAGGGTTCTGGGTGGTGTATGTAGATCTAATTTTTGAAAATAGAAATCTCTGAAACATAAGACAACCTGTAATAAGCTGGACAATTCACTGCAAGTTTCTCACCTATAGGTTTAAGCTGTGCTTTTACTTGGCAAGTATGCAAAAGTGAGCCTCTTTTTATTTGCTACATCTGTTCCTCATATGTATCTCAAGTCATATCATTACATTTTCATTATTCCTTTTTTGGGGGGAGGGGGATTTGTTGATTTGTTTTTGTGGGGTTTTTTGTTTTGCATTTTATTCTTGTTAGTCAAAGAGCTAATCCAGACTTAAAGTATGCTGTGAAAGTAAATAAGTAGTTAGTATGAATTGACAAGTGCTAGTTAATTCCAGTTGAGGAGTCTCTTATTTAAAAATAAGAGCTTTTATTTCAAATTCAGATTATGTTGCTTCTACTGCAACATGCATTTATTTATGCATCAAAATTACAGTTCATTCTAATTTCAGATTTGATCATTAACAGCCAAAGGGGCTTGTGAAATGAACACTAAGAGTTCCACAATGTTCTGCAATACTTACAGCTTACTTTCAAGTTTGCTATCTATACTACATCATATTAAGATTCAAGACTGAATGCACCCCAACATTACAAAAATAGAAACAGCCCAGGACTTGATTTCAAGTAGTAAGTTTGTCCACATGTAACTGGGGACGCAGTCAGGATTTTTAATATCCATATTGATGCATGAAAAGGAGAAGAAAAAAATGAGAAGAGCAACCCAAGTCATAGCCAGACACTGCAGGATTGATAATTACAAGTATCTTACAAAATGGGATTTTCTCTTTAGCAAATTAATATGAAACACTAAACCTGAATCCTTTCGCTATCGTACTAGACAAATTTCCCAACTTAACTGAATTTACAATACCCACTCTCTAAACCACTGAAGTGAAAAAAAAGACCCAAAAAAACCAATGAACAAGGAACTGTAATCAGGTGTTTCCTTTAATAAAATAAACTAAGTAAAAGAAAAATAATAACTGCCAGAATACTTCCTAATTTTTTTAAGTGTGCTTTAACTGAACATTTATTACCTTGAATACCTTACTAATTTGACTGAGACATGCACCACAAATTACTTAACTCAGCTAATGAGCAGGAAAAGATCACAAAAAGAGAAGATAGCTTATCACAACATATATTTGCTTCTTTACCTCATAAGGAGATCATAGTGTAGTTATATGTATTTGATTAAACTACATAGTATCCTGTAGCAGTAACTTTATTAATTTTGTGAAGATAGTGGAATCTTAGAAGTATTATAAATTCATGAAAATACTAAACTTTTATGTTGAGAGAAAGTGAGAAAAATACATTTTTCTGAAATACTTC